TGCAATGCCTGGCAAGGTTTTTTGCAGGATCATCCCAAACTTGTCTCATTAACTATTAGCTATGCCCCTCTTGTCCAAGGCTAGCCCAATTTCTCCCTGTCAGTGTAGGTGAAAGTACTCCCCACTGATGGGATATACCACATCCCTCATGGCAAAGCCATCTCAGAACCCCAGTCATGCACCCAGTCAAGCACTGGCAATTCAGAGTTACTGTCCACCACCAACATATGTCAGTGACAAACCAATACCTCTCAGCACGAGTGGCACAGCTGAAACTTTCTTGCACTTACAACTGTATATTCCTTCCCAATTGCTATTTCAGCACCAGGTCACAAATTCACTTGTCCTTAGCTGGATCCCATCTTGCATCCTTCTCCAAGTCTCAGCTGCTGTTTTCCCCAGTGTGCACAGTGGTCCAGCTTCTTAATGTTGTTTCATATGGAACCATCATACACCAGAAAGTCTTTAGCCACCTTAAAACTTTCACTTTCATTTATAAACACCAAAACAAACAAAAGTTGCATTTGTCTTTCAACTCAAACTGCTTGTATGTCAAGCACCAACAAGTTTTACAGTCCATGAATGATCACTGCACCCAAGTGTCATCTACTGCAGCAACGTGTCAGTTAAATGCTATCTGACTCGGAGTGCAGCGGTGTCTGACACGACTTCATGTAGAACATGATGTTCCGCCTGCTCAGTGACTTCCTCCTCCTCACAAGACTGCTGTCACTCTCCCAGTTTGTCAGCATGCATTACAGCCCCTCGCTGCCTGCTACAGTTGTGCAGAGTACAGCATGCTACAAATGTGTGGCGCACTCAGTCTGGGGAGTATTGCAAGGCCCATGCAGACTGGTCCAAGCAGTGGAATCTCCTCTTCAGGCCTATCATCTGCTCCATCATGATCCTAGTTGAAGAATGGACTACATTGATTCTACAGTCTACCTCAGTCAGAGAACTGTCTAACAGAGTTATCAGCCACGGTCGCAATAGGTAACCCTTGTCTACAAGTAATCCTCCTCGTAAGGCCCCTCTACACAGCAGGAACATGCAAGTTCTCAAAGATATAGTCATCATGGTGGCTCCCAGGCTACCATATGCAACTTTGTAAGAAGTGATACCAATGACCACAAGTGGCTTGCACTTTTCTATTGAGATGACCTCTGCAGCACAATGTGTACAAGCTATGGTCCGCTGCACCTGGGGAAAACCAGCTATGTTACTCAAGCTTACTCCAAAGGAGTTGTCTGTTGCAGCCTTAATATATTTGTGGGTGGAAGCAGCAGTATCATAAAGGTTCCATGCAGCTAGCACAGGATAAGCTGACTACCCACTTCTTCAGGTCGCAGCTCCTGCTCCAGCAGTTGGCAAATTTGAGTAACAGTATCCCAGGGCATTCTCACTCTGCATTGACATTGCATCTCTCATGCTGGAGGACATGCCATCGAGGGTGAAAAACTGTACCTTCTGGGTATCATGAGGGAAACTTCAGCTGCAACCTCTTCATGTTGAGGCTGCTGGGGTTCTGCTGGAGGTCGCTGCTGGCCCTGGGTTTGTTGGCACATCTGCTCCTCCTGTGTTACTCTGCACATTCATAGAAATTTAGTAATGGTAACTGTAACCCCTGATGTGGGTGGATCCATTGGTCATGTATCCAATGAACCTTTGTAGGGAGCAGAGTGAACAGAACAGGTCTGTGGTAATGAGAATAGTGAGCATCTAGATCACTTACAAATGACAGCTTTACATACTCTCGCATGCTGTGGGACACGGAAGGCCATGGGCTTACTCTTCTTCGATCTTTAGTATTAGACTTTATTCTAATGAAGGCATCATCAGTCATGTGGCAAAGAGATTCTAAGTGCTGCGTGAGTACTGAACCCTTCTCCTGGCTCCACAACACCCACAAAAGACATAATTAGAAATAAGAGTCTTAGATTATGTAACTGTTCAGTAGTGAGAGAATCAGCTGCATGTCCTTATGCAGCTTGTAAGGTCTTGCATTAGCTATATACTTTGTGGCCGGCATCTACTGCTTTCAATCTTGCCTGTGTTACTTCTGCTCCAGAGATGTCATTCGCCAATCTGCAAAAACCAATCACATGGTTGAGCTTGCTTGTGACCAGCATTTGAGCCCCACACATTTGTGCACTGCAGATATTTTACATGCACAATGATATGACAACAGATGGCTTTAACCTGCACGTTGCAAGTGGCCCCAAAGAGCGTCTCATTGCTCCAAAGTGGTGCCTGCATTTTTGGACAGCAGACATTGACTCCTGCCACACCCATTTTCCATTCGTGGCGATCCAGATCACGGAAGGCAGTGTAGGTCGTGCTGGACACAGAGTACCAGGCCTGGTACTATCTGAACTGCAGTCTTGAAGTGGTGAACCATAATGTAAGTGAATCAAAGATGTGTCACAAAGATAAGAGGCTCACACATGTTGGATGTGGGGTGCTTGTGGCCACTTTTCAGGGAATGTGTCACGAGACATGGTGCCTGCTATCCAGGATGGAACTCCAAAAGAGCAAGCAGCGAGCTGGAGTCACCAGATTCAGTTCAGGAATTCTCATTGTCCAGTTTCTATTGAGAGTAAGTAATAATGAGGATGGTAATTACCAGTTGTAGGCCCACCACTACTCCCTAGCGAGAATTTCCGCTCAAGGTCCAGGACTTGGTTGGAAAATGCAACTTGTTAGTCTCGACATAAAGAAAGGCCTCTCTCAACACCTCATGCAATTCTCCCAAGTTTCTCGCTATAGCCCACATCATTCACAGCCTCGGAGGATTCTGCCCAACATAGACTGTATTTGGGTGTTTGGACTCTCCGAAGTAGAACTAGAAGAACTCATCCATGTCCTCACAATAACCAGCCTTCCATTAAACTGAAAGCCACAACACAAGAAAGGTTTAAATGCCCAGGATGCCACAATGTTTATACTAGCACAATCGAACCAGCTATAGGTTAGCAGCAAAGGTTTTCTTTCATTAACTAACTGACACATGTTTCATAAAAACACTCACTAATTTGGGAGGAATGCATTACCTGTGATTTCAAGTTTTCTTGTCTCCCAGTTAGCTGGATATTCATGTGTTAACAGGCTTCCCTTAGCAAGCTACCTGCCTGTCCATTTTGCAGCCGCTCCATTTTCCACCCCTCTCCCCTTCTGCAGTCACTTATTTTTCTCCATCCTCATCCCTGGCATCGCCTGCAAACCTGCTCTCCCCCTAACCTCAATTGAATTCCCACTGCAGGCTGTTGTTCTCCGTCCACCCACCCCCCACCACACCACTGTTTCACTTACTGGTGAGTCTGTGGGCAACAAATGTGAGGGCAGAGCAGCTTCATTGAAAACTCCCCACACACGGGTGATTTTTTTTTCTCCTTCCCCCTGTTGGTGGCAATATTAATTCATTTCCACCAGGCAATTTGGCCACGTTTGAAACTGTATTTGCAGTTTGCCTCCATGCATTTTAAGCTTTATTCCAACTATACATTTGTGACACAGGCAGTTTTGGACTATTTTCATTTCTTTAACATCACCCCTGACTCAATTTATCTGCTGCTGAAACCATTATCAATGCCTTTGTTAGCTTTACCTACTACCCCGAGACATTCCTGGTCAACTTCCATCCTCACCCTTCATAAACTTGTTGTTATCTAGAACTCTGTTGCCCATTTCCTATGTCCTGTTCACCCATCAACCTTGTATTGATTGACCTGTATTAACTCTCAGTTAATCAATGTTACATTTTTTGTTTCAATTTCTCATCCTCGTTTTGACCTCCATCTATGATCATGCCCCCTATGTCTCGACAATTGCGCACAGCCTCATAACCACCTGAGGTATCGCCACAGCTCTCATTCTGGCTTCTTCAGCAGCTCCAATTTGAATCTTTCCATAGGTAGCTGAGCCTTCAGCTGTGATCCCTAATCTCTGAAATTCTTTCCCTAAATGTCTCTGACTCTTTATCTCTTTTCTCTTTGAAGATGTTCCTTGATTTGATTTATTATTGTCAAATGTACCAAGATACAATGAAAAGTATTGTTTTGCTTGCTAACCAGACAAATCATACGTTACGTAAGGACATCAAGGTAATAGAACAGAATGCAGAATATAGTGTTACAACTACATAGAATGATCAACTTTAATATGAGAGGTCAGTTTAAAAAGTCTGATAATAGCAGGGAAGATGTTGTTCCTGAATCTGTTGGTACATGTTTTCAAACTTTTGTATTTTCTGCCCAACGGAAGAGCGTGAATACAAGTATAGCCAGGGTGGGAGCAGTCTTTGATTATGTTGGCTGTTTCCTGAGGCAGTGGGGGGTGTAGACGGAGTCAGTGGATGGAAAGCCAGTTTGTGTGATGGACTAGGCTGTGTTCACAGCTCTCTAATTTTTTGCGGTCTTGGGCAGAGCAGTTGCCATTACCAAGCTGTGATTCATCCAGATAGAATGCAGTCTGTGCTGCATCTATTAAAAATAAGTAAGAGTCATTGTGAACATGTCGAATTTCCTTAGACTTATGAGGAAGTAGAGGCATTGGTGTGCTTTCTAAACCATAGTGTCGACATTGTTAGTAATCTTTACTCTGAGGAACTTGAAGCTTTCGACCAACTCCACTTCAGCACCATTGATACAGACAGGGACATGCCCTTCACTCAGCTCCCTGAAGTCAATGACCAGTTCCTTTGTTCTGCTGCCATTGAGGGCAAGATTGTTGTCTCTACAGTGAAAACTACCTTTATATCTAAGCATCTGGCTGTCTGCCCTGATGTCACCTCATGTGGTTCAGTGTCATTTTTTTTTTTAAGATCAAGCCCTTATGAAGCACATTGGGACATTTTACAACATTAAAAGTGCCATAAAAATTGGCAATATGGTTGTAAGTCTTCATCTTCTGTTCTTATTCTAAATGTAAATCTCAAGTGAACTGGTTTATTCTTGGATTTGTGGAATCTCTTGAAAACATTGGATGCCTTTGTCTTTATTCAGAGTACCATTGTCAAGAAGAACTTTTGGGCAGACTGGGCTGGTGGTAAATACATGGTACGCAAGTACCTCCCTGATCAAATCTATCTGGGTGATGGCAATAAGTCAACATCAATTCTACCTGGACAGGAAGCAAAGCAAAGTAAGTTGTTGATCAGAAAATGGCTTAAAACTTGAGGCTGAACATATGAGCACATTGAGCACTTATTTGGAATCTAATTCATTTTCTCTCCTATTCAAGTAAGATGCTGCTGTAGCTTTGGAGTAGATGTCTTTCATAGATTTCTTTTTGTTCTTGTAGGCAAAGATCCCATCAGCAAGAAGTCTCAGTGATATTGCAGTGGACTTGACAGATACAGGAATGCCTAAAGCTTCTAAACTGGCAAATGTGGATGGCAAAAATCCAATTATCACAGCTAGCAATGGCAGTTTAATTTCCTCAGGTAACATGTTTGCTGCATATGTTTCCAACTTCATAATGTGTGATTCCATTATAAGAGTGCAAACGAGTATTACCGATTTTCTAGATAAACTGAACAAAGATCAAGACTATCAATGTTTAGCATTAGTTTATTTGGATAAAATCAAATGAGAATGGGGGTCTGTTTCACTCAGCTGGCTGAATGGCTGTTTGGTTTGCAATGTAGGCTGATGCCAACAGCATGGGCTCAGTTCCCTTACCGGGTAAGGTTAGCATGAAGGACTCCTTCTCAACCTCTTCCCCCCTCTCCCCCTCTTCCCCTCTCCCCTCTCCTGACACGTGATGATCCTCCGGTTAAACCACCACTAGTCATCTCTTTCTGACGAGAAAGCAGTCCTATAGTCTGATAAGGCTATGGCAACTTTACCTTTTTATTTGGATATGTAACTGAGGGAGTACGAATAGATCCTCTTGGTGTTTAGTTTGCCTTTAACATGGATCTTTTTTAAAGAAAATAAATAAAATTTGACCATTATTAAATTAATTATCAATGCACAATTATTTATTATTTAGGTGTTTTTAAAACTGCAGTGACTTCCAACCCAACCACGCTCTATCATGAAAGAGTTAACTCCAAATTCACAATAAATTATAATGTGAATTGTTTTATTTAAGGGAAAACCTAGTTAGGTTATCTTGGATTTATGAACCAGAAAACCTATTTCATTTTCACAACCATCTCACAGTGATTGTCTGTTGTCTTTGGCAGGATTCCCAGTTGGTTTGGTATAATTCAGACTTTGCACACAAACAGTAACATTGAAATAATTTAGATTGTAAATGTGTAAGTTAGAAAGTGTATTTCTTCAATTGAATTATATTGTTTGCTACATTAGCAGAGTGCCAAATTAATTGACAAATATCTGTCTCATCTAATAAGGCACAGATTGCAAGAATACAGATTAATAATGTCTGATGTGTAGTTCCAAACAATGATTTGATTTTATTGGCTAAAAGGATGAAGCATACTGTTTTGAGGATTCATTGCTCAGTGCACACCTATCAACCAAGTCTATCTCATCAGGACCATACTGACAATCATAGATCAGAAATTTGTTTTGTCAGAACATGTTTTGCAACTAGTATCTGACAAATAAATCTTTTACAGGATTGGAAAGTCGAATGAACACCATGACAAATCTTTAAATTAAAAGTATTAAGTTTTAGCTTGTGTCATGTTTAAGTTTAAATTGAATATTCAATTATCATACTCTATAAACTGCCAAATAAATATTTCTGATGAAGTTTTATGTTTGTAACCATATTTAATTCTTGTATGGAACAAAATATGATTCAGCAGGCTTTAGAAAGGTTCAGCACCAGGAAAGCTAACCTGACAAGTGACCAATGGCTGTGTTGAGGTCAAGTAAATTATGGCATTACTTGTGTGCTGTACCTCCTACAGATGGTCAGCCATCTGCAACAATCAATATATGTAGAAAATTTGCGATGATGGACTGTATTAATGGACCTCTTTTGATTTAAGTAACTGGAAAAATTAAATTTAAACAGATACAGTATGTGAAGTTTTCTATGCACAATTGAATTCAATGTTAAACTAGAATAAAGGCAAATTAAGTCTGCATTAATGCATTCATGATCTAAAATTCAGCATATGTGAAAATAGAATTTTGTGATAACATTTCAAGTATACTCCGGAATACAATTGGAAATGAAAGATCTCTTTCCATTCTGGATGGTTTGATTATACCAAAGAAATGGTTTCCCTTGATTTTAAAATCAAGTGAAAGCTGTAGACTTGTTTGCAGGTTTTTATCCTGCAACCTAATTTCTACAACTGGTTTATGTGCCAAAAGCTTTATGAAGGACTGCCAAACAGAACAAGGACATGGTATGCTTACAAGCTGGTGGAAAGAATGTGTGTCTTGTCAGATGCTACCTTCTAGTTCTGTTGACCACACAGACTATTACAGATCCTGTAGAGAGAACATCTGTTGTTAAAGTTGTTCTGTATTTTGACCTCTATAAAGTCACCATTGATGCATATAGTAATTTTCATGTTTTCTTATTACTTAGATGTCAGCAGTAATTATTGTGTGCATCCATTTAGGTTCTCAAGACTCTGAAGTCAGTGATGAGCAAAAGAAAGAAAAGCTAATTGAATTGAAGCAGCGTCGGAATGCTCTGCAAGATACTCTTAATCAAAGAATGGAAGAATTAAAGAAAATTTGTTTACGAGAAGCAGTAAGTAAACCTTGAAATCGCAGGTTTAAAGGTTTCCTTACTGCAGTGCCTTAAATAGTCTTTCTTTTTTTTTAGAACAAACGTTCATTTAATTTCTTGTCTCTTTCATGACTGCGTTGCATTATTGGCAGTCACAGTGGGTATAAATCTCTCCTGAGTTAGAAAGTTATGGGTAGAGAGCACTACATCTATAATGACAATCCAACAGTACTGAAGAAATTCTGAACCCTTGCATGTTCTTTCGTTAGAGGTATGAAACTGAGGTCCCATCAGTGCCACAGTTATAAAAGATCCCATGTCCTTCTTTTGAAGATGACCAGGAATTATTTTCAAAAGTGCAAAGGCAATGTTTGTCACTTAGATGTTGGTAGAATGATCAATATTGACTACTACTGGATGATCTGTTTATTATCACAATTTGTAGTTTTAGATTTTATTGCGCACAATTGGCTGTATCTCTGCTCCATTACATCAATACGTGCATTCCATTTAAGTTGTTGTGCATTCCCTTATGTAGGAGTTAACTGGAAAATTACCAAAAGAGTATCCGCAGACATCAGGAGAAGAACTTCCATATGTTAGACGTCGAGTGGGCACAACTTTCAAATTGGATGACACCCTGCTTCAGAGTGAAGAGGTTAAGTACTGTGTGCACATCATTTTCTGATTAGGAAATGCCAAACAAGTTTTGCTTTTTTAATAGCTACACAATTTTTATGATGTAGTACTGTTTTATTTTACATCTCTCCCCTCCTTGGGTTCTGTTCTTTTCATTCTTAAAGTGTTGTGCGACCCTCCATCACTCAAGTGATGGCCTTTACTTGAGGTTACATTCCCTGTTCAGTTTTGGTGAATCAGAATCAAGCCCAAAACTTCCCACCACCAAAATTTGCATCCCAGCAGCAATCGCCAGGGTGGGAAATTAAGGTTTTCTGTCTCTCCAAGCAAGGAAAGAGAATGTGAACATAAGAGTGAGAAGCACAATTAGGCTATTTGACCCCTTGAGCTTGCTCTGCCACTCTATAAGATCATAGTTGATGTGTTTGTGTTTTGAATTCCACCTTGCCCTCTTCCCGGAGAACTTTGGCTCCCTTGCCTACCAAGAATCTAATCTTGTTCTTAAAAATATTCAATGACTGTGCCTCCTTCACCTTTTGAAACAGTATTCCCAGGTCTCGTAACCCTAGAAGAGAAAGAAAATTTCCTAATCTCTAGGGACAACCCCTACTTCTTAACTAGTGCTCCCTATTGACTCACCTACAAGAAGAACCACCAAAAATGTCAACCTTGGCACGGCTGTTATTTTCTTTAAACAAGTCAGCCCTCAGTTTTCTAACCTCCAGGGAAATGATCCCAGTTTATTTAATCTGATTTTGGCTGGCCTTACTCACTATGAACCAGGAAACACCAGTTTATCAGTTGCATGAATCAAGTAGTGGCAAAGCTACTTATTAGTGGTGATTCCTTTTCATCTTTTACAGCAATGGAGAACTCTCATTTGGAAAGAATGCTTATGTTGCAATTAAATTGGCACATTGTTAGGGGTGTGTCTCTGTGGTACAACAGGTTGCATTCTATCTGGAATAAGTAATTTTGTGAATACATTCACCTGCTGCTCTTTCGTCTTATTTTGTTTCCTTTTTTGTGTTTTTAACATACGGTGACTTGAAGTAAAATTGCAATTTTACAGATTATTTTCATGTCATTAACTCAGTACATCGCACCCATTCTGCCTCTTAATAGATTTCTGTGTGACATTTTTTTGTATTTTTCTAAATTGAAGATTTTAATTAAAAATGGAGGATACGGAGAGGGCAGAAAAATTGAACAGATATGTTTTCGGTCTTCGCCTAGAGAGGATATAAATAACATCCTGAAAATAACTTAATCAGGAGTTGAAAGGGAGGGAGGCACTAAAGAAAATTACAATTACCAGGGAAGTAGTAATGAGGAAAAAAGGTGTTGGGAAAAACTGTTCCAATTGAAATATAGACTAGTCCCCAGGTCCTCATGGATTTCATCCTAGAATCTTAAAAGAAGTAGCTATTGTGATAATTAACACGTTAGTTTTAATTTTTCAAAACTCATTAGATTTGGGGAAGGTTCCTTTAGGTTAGAAAATAGCCAATGTAACTCCTTTATTCAAAAAGGGAGGGAAGCAGAACACAGGAAATTGCAGGCCATTAAGCTTAACATCGATCATAGGGAAAATGTTTGAAACTGTTATGTTTTAACAGGGCACTTGGATAAGTTCAAGGTAATCAGGCCAAGCCAACATGGTTGTGTCAAAGGGAAAACCTGTTTAATTTATTAGAGTCCTTTTTGAAGAAAGGACTGGTGTTGTAGATAAAGCAGAACGAGTTTGATATGTTGTACTTAAATTTATCAATATTTCTTATAGAAAATGACAGTGCATGGTATAGGAAGTAATGTATTATCATGGATAGACCATTGGCAGACTAAGAAAGCAGAGAGTAGGAATAAGTGTTTTTTTTTGTGACTGGCAGGATGTCAGAAATGGTGTGCCACAAGAGTATGTGCTGGTGCCTTAACTCCCTTTCCAATTTAAATAAATGATTTGCATGAACGGATTAAAAATGTGGTAGCAAAATTTGTCGATAACACAAAGATAGGTACAAAAGTCTGTTGTGAAAATGTCACAAGGAGCCTATAAAGGGATATATATACATGGATCAAGTTAATGGGCAAAGATCTGGCAAATCGAAGATATAATGCGGCAAAGTATGATGTTGCCCATCTTGGCAGATTGAAAACAAACATTATCTAAAATGTGAGTGGTTACAGAGCTCTAAGATGCCGAGACATCTAGGCATCCTATTGCATGAATAACAGAAGGTTGGTATATAGGTACATCAAGTAATCAGGAAAGCTCATAAAATGGAAATGGATGCAAGAGAAAGGGAGGTTATGCTTCAATACATAAGGCATTAAGACCGCACCTGGAGTGCTGTGTACAGTACTGTTTGCCTTAGTTATGGAAGGATGTTAATGTGTTGGAAGCAATTCAGAGAAATTTTACTCGACTAGTACGTGGACTGAGCAGATTGCCTTATGAGAAAAGGCTAGACTGTTTAGGCCTGTATCCTTTGGAGTTTAGAACAGTCAGAGATGACTGACTGGAAACATCAAAGATCCTGAGGAGACTTGCCCATGTAGAGGTTCTTCTTTATAGGAATATGTACAACAAGGGTCATAGGCCAAAAATAAGGGGTTCCCCATTTAAAACAGATAAACAAAAGATTTTTCTCTAGAAGGGTTCAGAGTCTTTGGATTTTTGGTCCTCAAAAGGCAGAATCTTCAAAGATTTTTCAGGCAGAGGTTGATAGATCGATTCTTAGGGATAAAAGATTTTCAGGGATATGCAGGAATGTAGAGTTGAGGTTAAAATTTGATCAGCCATGATCTTTTTGATTGACAGAGCAGTCTCGAAGGCCAAGTGGCCTATTATTGTTCCTTGTTTGTAGGTTGCATTGTTTTTTTGTTGACAGAAAACGGTACAACGATCACAGTTGGGTACGTTTGCAAATGCTGTATTAAAATCACAGCAAAGGAACAGGTTATTTCTAAGGTTTTACAAATGGTGAGGTAACATTAAATTGGTAATTCTTTGCCTGACAACTTTTTCAGGATCCATATTTACAAGATTTGGAGAATAAGTTTGTCATTCAGCAGAAGATAGTAGAAGCTGCAAGAAAACTAGCCAATGACCACGAAGTTTGCAAGAATGTTAAAAAGAAGAGGAAACAGGATTATGTTGATGCTTTGAAAAAGCTTCAAGACATCGAGAACTCCAGCAATGAGTATAGAATAAAATGTGGGAGGAAGCCAACTCAGAGAACCTCCCTTGTTGTTCCAGGTAATTGCAATTTAAATATTGAATGTAAATTTTAATGTGAATGTGAATTCGCTTAGCTGAAGCTCTTCTTTAATGTTTTAATGAAAATCTGTAGCTCGGGTTGCGGTTGGAGTTGTTGGTTTGATCGCCGAGCTGACGGGGTTTCATGCAAATGTTTTGTCTCCCTTCTAGGTGACATCGTCAGTGCTGTGTGTCCTCCAATGAAGCGCTGTTGTTCTGTCCTGCTCTGAATTTTTATATGGTCCGGTCTGTCATGGTGGGCAGTCTTGTTTCCAGTTTTGTACCGTAGTGCCCCATCTACATATCACTACGGTACAAAACCGAAACTAGATTGCCCACCGTGACAGGACAGATCAACAGCGCTTCATTGGAGGACACACAGCACTGACGATGTCACCTAGAAGGGAGACAAAATGTTTGCATGAAACCCCGTCAGCTCGGCGATCAAACCAACAACTCAAAGCTGTTTCCCTTAGTGAAGTATCTCATTTAATATTGTCCAGTATTTAACAGCATGTGTTTGCCTCTCAGTAATCATTCTGTAAGTGTATTTGCTGGTATTGATTTACGATACTTGCTGTGAGAATTATGTAATTTCTTCCTTGTCTAGATGAGGTCATTCCCTCCGAGACCAGTTCCTTATCTGACACAAATACAACAGATGATGGTAAGTTGTGAAAGTATACATTTTGCAGTGCTGCACATCTTAACTGTACCACCATGTTGTGTTCCGTATTCTTATTTGTCCATGGGCTGTGGGCATTTGTTAGAAAAATGAACCTTTATTGCCCATCTCTAATTACACTAGAGAATGCGGTGAGGAACTGCAGTAATCCGTGTGGTGTAGGTGCACCTGCAGTGCTGGTTGGTCAAGAGTTCCAAGGTTCTGACTTCGCAGTGATGCAGATATGGCAGAAATAACTTCCTAGAGGCTGCTATCCCATTGCCAAGTCTCCTTTTATTCACACGTGAATAGTCCTTGACTTTAATAATGCCTTATTCAGAGTTAAGTACCAGAGTGTCAGTATACCTGACACTCACCCTTTTTATATAAGCCAGGGCTGCCTGATTGGGGCTGTTAATCTGATCCAATCAGGGCACTTGAATTCAATGAGGTCAAGTGGCTGACCTCGTTACAGTCCCTACAACCTGTAGGTGGCAGTGTTTTTGAGTATTGTTGGCTTTGCCCTCATCCACAAAAGTGGTGAATATTCTATTAATATCTTGACTTGTAAATGTCGGAAAGCTTTTGGAAAGCCAGAAGGTTGATCTTCTATTGCAGAATATCCAAACCCTTATCTTCAAACACACTTCCATTGATAATTGCATGAGGGATTTCGAAATATTAACAGGAGGATATTTTTAGCTGTTAATCATTTTTACCTTTGTCCAATACTTGTTGCAGATGACCTGCGTGTTATGCAACGGAAAAGATCCTTTTCTAGCCAACAACCCCTGAGACCACTTCCACCACAGTCTCTTGAGCTTAAACAGAGTCGACAACGGAGAAGTTCTGCAAGTGAACAGCTTCATGATAAAGGGCATATAGGCCAAACTAGGTAAAGTATGCTTTGGTTCACTAAGCATCAATGCAACTGTGGCTATTTGTCCATGAAATGAGAACATTTTCCTAATCAATGCTGTTGGTTTTCAACATTTGCAACACTTTTCAATCAATCCATTGTTCATTCTTGAACATTTGTCTGTGACCTGAATACTTTGATTTTGATACAATTAGAGGAGTTGGCATTACAAAAGATTTTCAGTAGTTTTAAAAATGGTCTAATTGATCATTTGATGGATATCCTTAAAAATTCATGGCCATTTAAATGGGTTCTTTGACAAAATAATCCATTTGTTAAAAAAATTCTTTTTATAATTCTGAGGTGTTTAAAATTGAGATGCTTTGCTGTGAACTACATTTGTGTGATTTTCATCAAAAGAAAGTTTATTACAAAGATGACCAGACCAAGAGGGAAAGAACAATAGAATATCCGTATGGGTTGAAAGGGGAAGAATTTTAGAAATACGGTGAACTGAGAAATAATTTTTTCATTCGGGTTTTGTCCTTATTCATGGTGAGAGATATTCAGTCCATTTATGGTTTGCAGAGCATCACAGGATAGTCTTCAAACTTGGCTTGTCGTTAGGGTTAGGGTTAGAGTTAGAGTTGACCAGATTTAAGTGGAGGAGGCTGTCGTTTGAAGAATTCACAATGCCATCTGTTACTTGTTTGTGGATCCTGAATAGGGGGTATCCATAGTTTCATTCTGATCATCCTGAATATGAATCACCAACCAGTAAGTTCAGCAAACTATTTGGAAAATTGGAAAATTACAAAGTTACTGTGGTTTGTAGTGACTTTCAATTATGTTAGTTTTGATGATTTTGTAGCATGATATTTCTGTTGGGAATTTTTCACACCTTGCTTACTTTAAACCAAATTTAAAGGCTTTTCCCTATTAAATAGCATTAATTTTTGTGTTTAAGAAGAAAACTAAGGTAAAATTTGAATTGCCAAAGCACTGAACTTGTTTTGTCTATATACTTTTTTCCACCACCAGGAAAGCACCCATGTGGCTAATTGAACATTAACAAGCAAAGGCTTGTTAAGGTTAATGCTGTCATCAAAAAGTGAGAGAATTCTTCTAGTTCCTCATATTCCCCATAGCACTCCTCTCCATATTTGAAATGCCAATGAGCCAAAGTTGAGGCTTCTTGATCAGTTAGAAATATTGTGTTCCAAACACCCTGTGCAAAATAATTTAATTTCTCTTCCACTGAACAATATCAATAGTTTAATAAGTTTGTGAAGGAGAGAGGAGGGGTGGGGGAGAGAGAGCAGGGAAGGAAGGTGATCTCTTCTGTTCTCTGCATTTTGAGGATCATCTCCACTACTATGTTGGAATACCAGGTTATTTCACATTCTAGTCAGCATTATATGTCCAGAAGCAAGGCAACTCCTGCTGTTTCATTTGTTGAAAATTTCAAACTCAAAAATTTTAAAAATGATGCTTTCTCACAAAAAAAATAGACAAACTAAAAGCTTGGGTCGTGATGCATGAAAATTGGTAGCTGTGATGCTAGCCATACTCTGGACCAGTTGCTGATGCAATATAATAAAAGTACAATAATGTGGATGCTAGGAATTTGAGAGAAAAACAGTGATTGAAATATTCAGATCTGATGGCAGTTGTGAAAAAAGTCACAAAGTTAATGTTTCAATTCGAATATGACCCATCAGAAGAAGAGTAATATTCAAATCAAATGCCAATTCTGTCTCTCTTCAAAAGCTGCCAGGCCAGCTGAATATTCCCAGTGCATTTATGCAAACTTCTAATACAAACAGGCAAGATGACAGACCTTCATGCACTTAAATTGCTAACCGATAACTAATTTCCTGATTCTAGAACCCTGATGAAGATGGTACAAGGTTCTCCTTCATTCTCTATTTCTTTAATTAATCTTCGTCTTGTAGTTTCAATGTGTATTTTTGTATCCCAAGGTGCTCAAAGTCACTAATGAATATTAATGTCAGACATCGAATGCAAACTTGAGTTCATCCAAAACTTTGCCACTTGGATCATTCAACACATGCTGCCCCATTTACCAATTTGACCAGTGATTGCTCGCCCACATTGTCGTCATCTCTGACAATGCCTTGATTAATTTTTTTTTAAAGTTCCTTTGTCACCTGCACTTCTATTTAGTTTAATTTCCTTCTGTCCTACTGCTCTCTTTAGAATTCTGAATTCCTCCATTATGGCTTCAATGTAGCCCTAATGTTAATTGATGCACCATTAGTGTTGGGCTTTGACTGCCCAGTCCCTAAGTGATGAAGTTTTCCCGTCCCTTTCCTCCACTGGTGTTCTTTCTTACCTACACTCCAGTCACCACCTTCCACTCCACAAAGGAAACCCTCCACATCTTTGCCATAATTTCCTCCTGTAAGACACTCATGAAAACTTAAATGTTCTCTGTTGTATCTCCTTAGGGGCTTTGACATGAAATTAGTTTGTTTCATTATGCTTCTGGATCATTTTGCCACGTTAACTCTGCTTATAAATGCCATTTTTAAAATGTAAGCTTATTTTAGATTTGGGTCTTAACTTTATGGAATCGCCTGATACTGAACATCTGTAAACTAAGTCCTATTGTTTATGTCTTGTCAGTACCAGATGATTTCCATTTTATTTCCTGTGATGTGGCATGTGTTGCCTATTAATTGTACAGTTTTTCTACTAGAAGTAAACTTAGACTATAAAGTCTAAATAAGGCAAGAAACTGAAATAGGCAATTGAAAAGCCTTTACACACAATCTGGGAATCATTTATAAACTGGCTTGGTTATTCTATTTGCTATAGCATAGTTCATATTAGTGCAGCATTTTGGAGAACAATTGGATCATGCTAGTTTATGATAATGCAATTGTACTTCATTGGCTCCCAACCCCAGCATCTTAACTAATAACTGTGTAGCTATCACTGATACTGCTTATTAAATATTCTGCAAAATTAATGATCATTATGCTTGCCTGACACTGGTTTTACAATCTCTAGTGTTTGGGATTTAGGTATTCTGATCTGTACTTTTCAGTGTATCAACCGTTCTATCCTTTGCTGCCTGCTGTTGACTTTCTGTGCAAGAAAAAGATCATTTTATTTGGATCAGATTTGTGCTTTACTCATAGCTGCCTCTGTGTCCATACAGTGAATCTACCTTATTAATATTGTAAGGTGTTTTCAACTCTGTCAAAATAAGTGCAACTCTTTTGAAAGTAGAGAAGTGTGATTTTGTTCCTGACTGCTGTATCCTCATCCAAGAACTTAAAACCATTTTACTACCTGCACAAACAGACAAGGAAGTTCTATACCAGCAAATATAATTACCTCAGCGTTCCTGAGTTTGCATTGTTTTTTTTGGTCATTTGAAGCAGAAATTTTGCCTCATTTATTGTGCTATTGCCAAACAGTACAGTTGCTCTCTTAAAATGGTCAGTAACTGAAAAAGTTGAAAAGGAATAGCTAAGCTATCTCTTTTTTTTTTAAACTTTTGGAGGGGCTGTGATAATAAGTGGTGTCACCTATAGACAGTAGAGGAGGAGGCCGTTTTACCCCTTGTGAGATGTAATTCAAAACTAATCACATTACCCTGCTGTTCTTCCTGTAACAATGTATCTAAGTCTGCTTCAAATATTTGTCCAGTTTCTCCATAAAAGATGCAATGGCCTCTGCTTCAATCACGCCCTTTGATGAAGCATTCCTTGCTTCAACACCTCACTGCTTCAATCAATATTTTAACTTGATAACCCCTTGTCACCTAAATTCTGACTATAAAAGTATTCTCCTTCCAATGTCATCTGTTTAAAAAATCTGCTTAACCTCTTAAACCTGCTTAGTAAAGATTGTCCTTCTGTTTCCATTTTCCTTTCATAATTATAATTGTGCAAACTTAACCTTCTATTGATGAACTTTTTCTTAGTGTTCTATGGTTGTAATCTCCTTCCTTTAATGGATCCCAGTGCTGCACACTGTGAGCTAGCTCAATGTTTCATACAAAGTTGAAATTACTTCTCCATTTCATTATTGTTTACAAATGAAAATAATTTTAAAATGGTTTTTGTCTGCCTTCATTTGCATTTTTGAACATTTTGTGTCTTTGAATCACTAGGTTACTGCCAATCTACAGCCATCAACATTTCTTACATTGGGTCACCTTCCCATTCCTGGTTTCTCGTAAGCTTATTGTCTGGCACATACATTCATCTTAATCTATGACCTATTTGCCAAGTCTTCGACTTCTACTTCCATACATCCATATTTTGAAGTTGTATTCCCTACATCAAAGACCATGTTATTTTTATAAACAATAACCCTTATCTTTAATTATATCAAACACTTCTACAGCCATGTATTCACTCTTAACTAGAAATTATAACCGCACAAATAAGCCATTTAACCAATCCGATCTCTTAGGTCACCATATAAGCAAATAGCTCCAATGACACTTAAGTGTCGTATTTCTCCAATGTGTCCCTTTTTGTCCTTCTCTAATCCCTAACAACCAGTGGCTTGAGACATGCTATTAAAGGCCTTCCAAAAGTGTATTAATATTCCATCCACAAACGCTCATCCAGCCAATCAATATTTTTAAAAAGAAGTCAGCCAGTTTGCATAAAGAAATGTTGGCTCTCCTTATTTAACTAGGACATTTCTAAACGCTCGCTAATTTTACCTGGGTTTTTCCCAAAACTGACACAAGATGAACTGGTCTATAAACATCACCAATCTTGAAAAATATTTGAAATCTGCTAATATCGTGTTCAATTCCATAGTTGGCACAATTAAAATATTTCAACAGCCAAGGGTGCCTGCTGTCATGGCCAAGTGATTTATATAACTTGGTTTCAGCTCATTATTTAAGAACAAATTCCTTTTTCTACTGTCATTTGCAATATTTTTTTCTCCTCCTTTCTATACATTTTCATTACCAACAAAATATTTCTATAATATCTCCACAATTTATTGAACCTTTGCAATTAGACTCTCTTCATTCCAAAATAATTTTAGCCTTTTATGTGCTTATGAAAAGGCTTTACTACTTTTCTGATTTATTCACATTCACTTTGAGTCTTTCTAATCTCCCATAACCTCCCTGTTTTACTTTTCTGCATCATTATCAGTGATATTGTTCGGCTCAATTTTATCATGCCTCCCATTTTGTTAGCTTTTTAATCTCCGTTTTTAGGCGTGGGAATGTATTCTTTGATGGACTCCTTTTTTGACTCGTTGGAAAGTATTTATTTTGTAATCTCTGTACCTTGTATTTAAGAGCGCCCACTGCTAATCCATCAACTTGTTTTTAGTTTTAATTGCTCAGGAAGTTTGGACCAGATCCCTTCTTTTCTCACTGATCTTTGTGTTTTTCCAATCCAGCACTTTATATTTGACTTTGAGATCTTCTTCCCAATTGTTTTCCTGTCAACTATTTACCCCACTTCAATTTCTAAAAGTAACTCAAGTCATGATTCTGTCCTTCTTGGACAAGAAGCACACTGATCTCAGAAGCAATCTGATTAAATTGAAGAATTCTTAGCCACCAGTTAAAACGACTGGGAACTGTAGCAGCAAGGTTGCAGTAAATTGTTTCTAAGTGAGGTTTGGTAGCACAGATCTTCCCTGGGTTTAAGTTAAATTTCCATTACTGAACTGAAAAGCAAACTGTTGTGCCATTCCATTTCCTAATTATTCAGTTGGAAAAATTCACTTTAAATAGGTATTTATTTTTGCTTTATAAAAAATTCCATGTTCTTATGATTAAAATAATCAAAACTGAACTAACAAAGTTAATACAATAATCAATTTGAAAATGGAAATGTATTACAGATACAGTAGTAACGAAGGTTACTACCTGCAGGATATCGTGCATGGCTGTAGGGAACTGAGCTCAACACATAGCAGCCCCTACAGAACACAAGGGAGGCAATTCCATGGAGGAAGAAGTATGCCAGCTACCCCAGTAATGACTCGTAATGCTTACAGCAGCAGTCAGTTACGGTATGTCGTTGAAGTAATTCCAAGTACTGTGAAAACCAGCACCCGCAGCACAACTAACTTGATTGAGTTTGTTGAAGTAACAGAGGCACTGCTGAAGGTAGCACGGTTGATGATGTTTGCATGGCTTTTCAAAAGGGATTTCATAAAGTACTATAATAAACCTACTAGCAAAATTGATACTTAGTGGACTAAAGGGGCATGGGTATATAATTCATTAAGGAGCAGAAAGCAGTGAGTAATAGTGTTTTCAGACTTGGGCCCTTGGAGGGTGTAAAAGATGAAGTTGCCATAGTCCTATCAGATCATAGGGTAGTGCTCTCATTAGACAGAAACGATGGTGGTGATTTAACCTGAGGGTCACCACGCCTCAGGTAAGTTTGCAGAGGATATGAAACTCCACGCATAAATATTTAGGAAAGTGTAAGCAGATACTGGCAGGAAATTTTATACTGAAAAGTGCAACGTGTTGTGTTTTGTTCGGGAAATGAAAAGACCCAATATAAATCAAATGCTACAATTTTAAAGGGCTTACAGAAACAGAGACCTGAGGATATATGCACATGCACCTTTGAAGGGGACAGGAATAAATGAAAAGGCTGATGAGAAAACATCTGGAATTTTTGAATTTAAAAAAAGTGCTGGAACAGATTACATGTTTACACAGATTGTGTGGTGGTCACTGGAGCAATACTGTCGTGAACAGATGGATCTGTAGCTGGCAGATTGGTGAAATTGCAATCAATTGACTTTTCGCTCGCTTTGGTTCCTTCACCCTGTGAAGGTGCAGACCTGGTTTGGCAGCTATATCCTTTAAGTCTTGACCGGCTCAGTCAGTTGTGAAGTTGCTAAGCTACACTTGGTGACATTGACACCTGTTACTTAGAATACATTCTATGCTCTTGATGCCCTCAGCACTTCCTTTGAAGTGGTGTTGAATTCATCAACCAAGGGGTGCAGTGTGGTAATCAGCTGGAGGCTTCCCTGTCCATTTTTGACACAATGTCCTGAGACTTCATGGGGCTGTAGTCAATGTTGAAGACTCCCAGTGCTGCAGCACCCTTTCAATTGCATACCACAATGCTGCCACCTCTGGTGATGGTCTTGTCTGGGACATTTTGACACTGACCATCAGATGTTAGGAAGGAGAAGTAACAGATTAACCATCTGTCTGGTTTCTTTCCTTTTTTTGGGACTTCTAAGCCGTTTGAGGCAACTGAGTGCCTTGCCAGGCCATTTCAGAGGCAGTCAAGAGTTGACTACATTGCTGTGGGGTTTAGACTTGTATGTAGGAGAGCAGATGTCCTTCCATAAGGAACATTAGTGAACTAAATGCATTTAAAAGATGATTGGCAATGATTTCATGGTCATGATTTGACTTTTAATTCCATCTTTCTGCTTTTTTAACTCAAATTTTGCCATCTGCTGTGGTGGGATTTGAACCTGGGTCCTGAAAGCATTATGTGGGTCCCTGGATTACTCGACCAGTGACAATAGAACTGTGCCGTGCCCCTTTACCAGTTGAAGTCTACTTGCTGACTAATCAGTACTCTCTCTTCACATACAGTATAAAATATTGTTTGCCTTTTACATTAGTATTCTTGTAATGTCCTTGATTGGTGCAAGGTGAAAAGCTTCAACAAAATGTCTTGTTTCAGCAATTTGTTTGGCATTAATTCATGTGAAATATTTGTAAATATTGGGGAAAAAATATATTTCAGCATTCAGTGTGGGTTTCATTGTAACATTTCTAAGGCTTGAAATAGAAACTGTACTAGATCTCTCTTCATTTGTGTTTTGTTATATGCAGACCTGAGCTTTCCCCGAATCACTTCAGACAACGCAGCGGCAGCTTGGAATCGCAATCTCATCTTCTGGATGAAAGTGCAAGTGAAAGGACAGTATTCCCCCTCTCAGTAGCTCAGAGGAGTTGCAGTACAGAGCTACTGGATGATGGGTCATCCTACACCAGTCAATCCAGTACTGAGTACTATATCACACCAAGTAAACCTCCCCAATACTACAACACCATGACAATGGGTTGCCGGTCAAGAGAAAGACGAAGACACAAGAAACCAATTGTTTCCTCGGCAGCTTCAGGAAGCATGCCAAATTTAGCACCAAAAGATGGAAGGAATGGAGTTTATCAGAATTCTTACAACCAACCTTCATCTGACTATTATATTCCAGGATATCCACCATACTGTGACTATGAGCCTTATGGATATACATTTGAAAATGACACTGAAGGTCACTATAATGTTAAAGCCCCATATAGATCATCACATTCTTACAATGCTGAACACTACAGAGATTACAATAGGTCTTACCAGGGTGACAGCGAGAGTATGCCTCAAAACCCATATGCAACACTGAGGAATGTGCGTAGGAGAGGTGCTAAGAGTGAACAAATAACCAAAAATATCCAGAAAGCCTTGGTTGCAGAAAGTTTGCGCGGCTGGTATGAGCGTGCCTCAACACACAAGGATTACGGCCTGCAGGCAGGCTTAGACTCTGACAGGGGCTCACAGCAAAGCCTAGGATTTGCTTATATGCACGGTCCATTTTCCCCTACAAGTAGGGCTACGTCTTTCACATCAGGTAGGATAAGATTTCTCAGCTGAAGTTATCACTTGCACCTTAAGAATTTGCTGACTGTTAGTGATACAAGTCTATCATGTTTGTAAGTTTAGATGTTGGGAGCAGAATTTAATGCTTGCCCCAGAGCCTAAAAGGGGGCTGTGGGGGCAGTGGTGCAGGGGTTATATAATGGGGCAGGAAGATGCATGTTCAAGACCGTTCATCATCCTGACTTAACCCAGCTTAAGCCTTGGGAAGGAGTGATTGAGGGTGGCCTTCATTCCCAGAAGTCTTTTAAGGATTTCATCCCACAGCTGCTGCATTTGTACCAGAGGCAGAAGTAGGCTGCGCCACATGGACAACCTGGAGGTAAACTTCACCAAAGCAGAGGTATATCTGCTGTACCAGGGTGGGGTGTGTCCCACTTCAGCATCCTAAGGCCAATGAAGGACTTGTTGGCGTAAATGAATTTACTCTTGGAAAGCCAATTCCCCTGCTTCCCCAACGCCCCCTCACCACATTTCCCACCCACTATTATCTCGCTGGCTGAGGCCTCCATAATTGCCCTGGTGCTCCTTCTCCACGTAGGTGCTGCCTCCACTGAAGCACCTGCAATGGCCATCATTCATAGCAGCAGCCAGCAGGTTGACTAAAATTGAGACTTTGTTCTCGTGGGGCACTCAGAATTCACTGTGGCAGGTTTTTCTCTGGCTCTCCAGCTGGTGGACAACTCCATTCTAACCATTAAATTCCAGCTTTTGATTTTATTCCTGAACACACACTTTTTATAAATATGGTTTTAGCACCATGGATGATAAAACTTAAAGTTTAGGATAAGTTAATGGAGTGTATTCTGTACAAATTTGACCTGAGGGTTTTGTTGTTCAAGCACAAATGTGGTTCCATGATGTAACTTTCAGCTGGCTAATTATTTTGTTTTTTTTTGGATTCGGAGTCCTTTTTTTTTTTTTGTTACGTAATTATTTAGCATTCATGTTTTGTTTACCAGGCAAATATTGTGAGGATGTGACTTTAAAAGTAGTGTGTGGCAGGTTTAAAAATGACAATACTAAGATAAAGTAAGAATAAGAAATAATAAGATAAACTACTTTTTGTCATTTCCGGAATAGTAACTAATAGTGGAAGTAACAGGTTGTTCCTCTCCTGATGTGTCAGTGAGTGTGTTAAACATACCACGGAGAATTCCTTGCTTAGATTACAATCGAATAGTCTGACGTGTTCACAGATTCAGTTTTGGATAGGCAGGGCTAGATGATTTGTTCTAACCCAGGTAAATTATTACCTTAAACATACATTGTTGTGATATAAACAGCATTTCAGTAGAGTTCAGTTGACAATATAGAGCAGATACGATGGACATATTTAGATCTATTATATTGGTGGAGTAGTAAAACCAGTTAGAGCACATTACGTAAACGTGATATATGAATTTGACTATTCCTAAAGGTAGAACATGATTGGGTGACTTGAACTTCTCTGGTCTATGGTAAGCTGAATTGCGTAATTGTATTAGAATATATTTGAGTCCGGTCAATTACTAAATGAATCAAACGTTTAAAATTCTAAAAGACAAATTAAATCATCATTGGCTAATGTGCAGCTTACATGGTTTTTAAAAATTCATAATCTTTTAAAATCCCAGTCTCTTCAGCGACAAGTACAGGAACTTGGCGGAGCCAGTTAACTGTCGGCCATCAGGACTATGATCACGGAACTTACACAAGTTCGTTTAGTAACTCCTACAGCAATACTACACTACACAGCAGGTGAGTGTCAACAGCAACCAGAGAAAAATCTGAGTTCACCTGTTTCGCTTCTTAAAGCTGAAACTTGTAATCTATTTGCAGAAATTATATTTGTGTTAATGGCTGGTTTCCGGTATATTCCAGCAATTATTTTTGAAACTTTCTCCCACTTAAACAAGTGTAGTCAGTGAATGAAAAGGAACATGTCAGTTTTAAAACCTGCTGCTTGCAGGAGACATGAGGTGAATAGATGAATGAGGAATCGTACCATAGCATGTTTTTTTTTGAAGAACAGCATTTCTACACCTTACCCACAAAATTAGAGATTTCTGTAAAGAGAAGTATTGATTGATTTTATTGTCTCATATACCAAAATGCAGTGAAAAGCTTTGTTTATGAGCAGTGCAGGCAGATCACAGCCAGAACTATTGTTATATAACAGTTTATTATTGAAGGGTCAATGTAAAATCCTCCCAATAGTCAAGGTCTGTGAAGATCTTTTCAGAAGAAAGGGGAGTACTTTGGGTATCGCACAAACAAGGGTTTTTAAACCTAAGTTGTTGCACTCAATTAAACTGCTCTTACTGTTATGAATTGTTTACACTTTGCAATACTGTTCTACAGAATGGAATAGACCTCAGATTTTGCATTATAATGCCAGGCATTTCTTTCAATACTAGTTCCGCCTCAGTTCCACCAGAAGTGAATGTTTTACCTTTATGACATCTTTTACAGGGAGGTACATGGCCTTTGCTCAGTGCTTCCTTTCTCCGGCAGCATAGCTTTGAGCAGTAAAGTGATAATGTGAAGAATTCAACCTGTATGGTGCTGTAGCATTATATAGTGATTAGTGTTGAGACAACAAATTTCACATGGTTGAGCTATCAATGGGCCTACTGATGCCTGTGATTCTGTACCCTTGTTTAAATGAACACTTGCAAGGGAGGAGCAAAAGAAATGAAGAAAATAATCTCGCGATTCACTTCTTACTTTGCTTGTCGGTCATTTTCTTGTAGGCATAGCTCCTTCCAGTCTCTTGATGATCCTTTTTCTACCGAGCACCACCATTTCCCTGCTGTTGGCACTGCTCCTACCAGACACTCATCTGCCTCCTCCTCTTCCTCTTCCTCTTCCTCTTTCTCATCCACTTCATCCACTTCCACTCTCCCTTACAAAGAGGAGTGTTTCATTCAGTGTACTGACTGCAGCCACCATCGTATCTACAGAAATGAGATATTCATTAAATACCTATACGCAAAATGTAGTCCGCGGTAGTAAGTATTCTCGCGTGTTTTTGTCTGTGATGGTTGGTGACTCTTGGTGTTTACGCTTGCTAACAAAGCTTGAAGTTAGCTGAGCCGCTTTCTATGTAGCGCTTCTTTGATGTAAAGTTTATAAATTTAAGAGCAATAACCTTAATGTTGCTTTATTGCTTCAACAAATAGTCAACAGTTGCGGAACTCAAAACAAAATTTTGAAACTAACAGTCTAAAGATCAAGGGTTCCTCCTAATATTTATTACAATTCAGTTCTAAAAATTCTATGCTTTAATTGAGGTCCACATGTCAATATATGTACAGCAAAAAAAGTTGAAGTTTTGAATTTTGTTTCTTTATTAATTTACTTACATTTACATGCTAAATTATTGTAGAGTGATTTGGCATTGAGATCTGCTGTACTTTGTCTATGATCAAATTTTTAAAAGTACTTCCCAAAAGATTTTGTGTACTTTTTCCCCAGTATTCTAGTCAGTATAGGACATTGCTGAATTGTACAAATTCCCTTCAGGATTGTGTGTCGAATAGCTATTCAATTAGTTTCTCAGTTGACCTCTGTGTTCCTGGTCTAGGGAAAGGGAAAATAAGACAGGCACAGTTTTTGTTCTTACTATTCAAGTCTGAGGGTAATGCTGGACTCAGTATTATGTAATTGATGGGTGCATAACCTGTAATACTCATACATAGGCTTGCATGACTGAAAATGGGTACTTGACTGAAGTGTGGGAGGTATATATGGAACAATATCTTATCAGGGAAGGAAAGGTTGGGGGTGGATGTGGTTGTCAGGGAATGGTTCCAATGTTCTGGTATTCTGAAATTACTGAGTGGAGTAAAGTTTGAATATAGAAGGAGTCTTCAAAGTAAGTTGCTCTACCCAATCTCCTTTATTTCCCACCAACCTTCCCTGCTCCCCCAAAAAAAATCATAAAGCTGAATTTAGTTGGAATCTTTTCCTGTAAAACATAAAGGTATTTGCAGGGGACATTAAACAAAATTTTGACACCAAGCCATGTTTTAAATTTATTGGAGCAATGCTTGCAGCATTAGTCAGCTTAAAGGGAAAATGAATCATTAATGGCCTGTACCACTAAATGGCTTTTGCAATCACCAATGACTACTCAATTCTTTTAAAAACATTTAACTGAAATTGAAAAAGACACCATGCTATGCAGTGTACCTTTTGAGCTGTTTATTAATGAGTCAAATATGAATATCCAGACCTAAATATAGAGGGTTTCTAGGTTCAAGGAAGCACTGTTACTTACCAATAGTATCATCCTGATTTGTAAACCTGAGTTTTCTTTAAAATATACAATATTACTATATTTAAAATTTAATCTGACTAGCCTTCTGATTTGAATTTCAAGCATTCCCTGAGGTTATCAATAATTATCACATTGCATCTAATCAAATTATTTTCTTGTAAAACTTTTAAGAAATTCCTAGTTTTGTTTAAAATCTATTTCAAGTGTTCATTCATCACTGTAGCAATAAAGATGAATAGAGAATTGTGGTACCATCAGCATTTAATTTCTGGTAAAACTATTAATAGGATCACAATGATAAGCACACTTCAGCCCATCCACAGTTTCTGTTTTATTTAGTTATATTAATGCTTCGATAAGAGTTCGAGAAATTCTAAATGTTAGGAACTAAATAAATCACTAACGATCGTGCAGTCAACGGTGAAGGAAATGGTTTTTCCGTCAGGCTTTTATTCTGCAGCAGATGTAGGTTATCTCATTGACATTCTTGATCCAACTATGAAAGAACAGTTAGACAGGATAGTGAAGAAGGCATTTGGTATGTTTGCCTATATTGGTCAGTGCATTGAGTATAGGAATTGGGAGGTCATGTTGCAGCTGTACAGGACATTTGTTAGGTCACTTTTGGAATACTGCGTGCAGTTCTGGTCTCCCTGCTATAGAAAGCATGTTGTGAAACTAGAAAGGGTTCAGAACAGATTCACAAGATGTTGTCTGGCTTGGGGGGTTTGATCGTAGGAAGAGGCTGAATAGGCTGGGGCTGTTTTCTCTGCAGCGTTGGAGGCTAAGGGGTATCCTTTATAGATGTTTATAAAATCATGAGTTGCAGGGATGGGGTGGATAGCAAAGGTCTTTCCCCAGGATGGGGGAATCCAAAACTAGAGGACATAGGTTTAAGGTGAGAGGGAAAGATTGAAAAGGGACCGAAGCGGCAACTTTTTTTCAAAGTGGAGGGTGGTGCCTGTATGCAATGAGCCGCCAGAGGTTGGTACAATTACAACACTTAAAAGGCATCTGGATGGATATATGAATAGGAATGGTTTAGATGGATATGAGCCAAATGTTGGCAAATGTTACTAGATTTATATAGGATATTTAGTTGGCATGGACGAGTTGGACCAAAGGCTCTGTTTCCATGCTGTACAGCTCTATGACTCTAACTGTGTCCCTGTGACCTTCAGGCAATCGACTTTATTAAACCACATGCAGATTTTTATAAAAAAGCTATAATTTGTAAATTGTGACTAATGTATTGACTCTTTTAAACTAAATTGGCATTTTCTGAAATACATGTCCTTTTTAGATGAATATTGCAGTTCTTTTCTAACTTTCTTTTTTCTTTCAAAATATTTACCAGAGCTTACCCAGAACAAATAGACAGTGGAGACACAAGCCAGCTGGAAGATGATGTGTATTCTGAAGAGCAAGTGTTGTTATGGCATGAAGACTCTAAACCTGGAACTCTAGTTTAAGTCATTGCTGGTTGACTTTCAAACTTCATTGTTTAACATATGGATAACTTACTCTGTGTGCCTTGCATCTTTCTCGATCTGTTCAAACAATGGTTTATTTCTACCAATGGGAATCATCCTTGGAACATTTTCGTTTGCTGAAAGTACTGTACCTGAATGCTGGGAAACATATTCTGACAGAATTGTGCAGAAAGAGTGAAAGCTTAAATTCCACAGGTTACAGTTTCATAAAAGTTTGCTTTAAATTGGTTAACATACATTCTAAAGAAGGAAGTCCTTTTTTTAAGTGGATTACTTTGTATTTAAATCTTAGCATGGAAGGATAGCACTTGGATTTTTTTTAAACTGTGAATGCACTTTTGAAAGACTGAGTTGATAAAATTGGATGCTCTTCATTGTTCAGTGAACTTGGAGTAAAAGGAACTATGCTTTTTGCATAGATATAAAAGGTTGAAGGACAAAGCAGGGTAGTGAGTAACTTCATATGCTTTGGAAGTCTAAGGGTACTTTGCATATTATTAAATGAAGGATGTCATATATTTTGATGGCAAGGAACTGTTGACTCTGATTACTTGAATAGTGTTTAGTGGGCTTATGAGTTTTTTAAATGACTAGTTGGAATTAAGACCAGAAAAAGGTAGGCAATACATTTTAGATATTTTTCTGAGCTAGCTAGAAGAAACATAAAGAATTATGCATTCATGTTTTTTTAAAGTGCTTTGGTAATTTATCCTAACAGTAGTGCTTTCAAATGGCTTTTTAATTTGTGGGGGAGAAGAGTTATTGGACCAATTGAGGCTAATGGCAATCATTTCTGGACCGTATTGAATGCCAAACATAACCAGTCATGAAAATATGCATCAAAGATATCTTTCACAATATGCTTCAAAGAAGGAGCACATGGCTTGAGAGACAATATGCCAAAATGCAAAAAAAAATAGATTTTGAAGAAAATAAAAAGCACAATTCTTCTGGTTTTGACTGTCAAGATGATAGTGCAAACTGGTTAAAACAGAGCAATTTGATTATTAACCCATCCTGAATTCTGGTTATGTGATTATCTTCGCTGGGCACATTTGGTGCACTCCCCATAACGCAGGTACAATGCTGTTCTCCTGATCCTCCTAGATATATTAACTTGTTTCAAAAGGAATCAGAGAATTTTTGACAATGATACATAAAAAAGCACTGTGGTTGATGAAAGCAGCAAATGACAAACTCCTCCAAGACTCGGCAGGTAAATGAGCTAGAAGGTAATTACTGAGATGTGTAGACCAGTAAGCCCTTTAAATTCAGTCTTTTAAGCTGTCAGAAGGACTTAGCTGACCTCTGTTTGTGTGAAGTAATGGTATTAGAGGAATTTCTCTCCCATTTGCAGAAAGAGGAAGGTGAAAAATAACCCACGGTTCAGACTCCTGAAATTTGATAGTCGACTTATTCTGGAATACACAAGGTAATGAACTCGGAAGCTTCCAATGATTTACGCTACAGTCAAATAGCTTGCCAACATTCGTCATCAAATTTCACTTTGAAGAATAGGTGCCAGGAGACTGGCACCTAGGAGTGCCAGTTGCCATGGAACTATATGCCAAGCATGAGTCACCACTTACAAGAAAAGAAGGGCGAGAGCCTAAGTAATTGGCTATTGCCTTTCTCTTGCTGACTGCTATTTAAGCTATAGTTACCATGGTGAGGTTTGAAAGGACTGACTTCAAAGTTCATCTCAAAAGAACAGTGCAAAAACAAAAGCATGTAAACAAGATAGAAAGCCTCGAGACATGATATCTTTCACAGCGAGAAAGGTGAACCTGCGAACAAAATGTTTCCTTTCTAAAACAGAAGTGCTCATGAGGCTCACACTACCTCACTATTTCCTTGGAAAATACATACGTTTACCAGTTCAGGGCCTGGGGATGTTTTAATGTGGCATTTACAGTATATGAATATTACAAGTTGGTGTGTCGAAGACCTGGCAATGTTATTCCAAGTTCTAACTGGTGAATGTGTGCTCGCCATGCTGGAATCCATGGAAAGGTGCTGTCATTCCTTTTTTTTTAAAACAAGGGGAAAAATGTTGCAGTTTTGTTTATTATGTAAAGTTTCTGAAATGACACTTTTTGTGAACATTTTTATTATTTTTTTTTCAAAGCATGTAATATATAGTAAACTAATTTGGTAAGCTGGTTCTTAGTTTTTTTTATTCTTGAGAAAAAGGTTTCGATTCATATGGGAATTTGGAAACAAAGCTTTTAACTTATTCTTTTGCATATTTGTACAGCTTTCCCCAGAGAGAAACTTTTGTGTATGCCTTTACATAATACTCCTGTCTTCCTTCCTACTATAAAAAGAATGTGCTTTAAAAACAGGAGGCCAACAAATAAAGCATATGTTTCCTGTGTGTATTTTTTTGTAATTCTACACAGCTCGACGTCAGTGCTGCAATATCTTTATTTTTTTCAATAAATCAATTTTCCCCCCATATTGTGAATATATTTTAATTGTTTTATGTGCATTCTTTTATGTAACTATTAACTTGTTTGCAATCAAGGACATTTTCTTAAACTTGTACTCCAGTACCATTCTAATGTTTATCTAAATTGGATTCTCTTTTCAACATCCTTTTTATATTTTTTATGGATATTTCAATTAATTTTTGAATGCTTTCCTAGTTTCTGTTCTATTCTTGTCCCTTTTTCTTTCCTGTGTTTTCGCTCTAATTCTGTCAACTCTCATTCAGTATTTGAATAAAAGTCCTAATGTTTCGATCCTGAGATGAGCAATCCTGTGTTGCAACATGTTTGGCACAATTTGCAAAGATCATACAGTGTTGTGCAGTAATTTATTGCATCTTTATTCTTGGGCAAAATTCCACACGATTAGTTGGTTGAGATAGAGACTATTCTGCCTTTGGGGAAAGAAATTAATTTTGAAGCAAATATAGACAGTAAGTAATTGAACCTTATTTCAAAGGTGCTTGTCCACTACATGTGGTTAAGTTAGTGTTCTAAGATCTTCTTAAATACCATTACTGCACAAGAGCAAGATAAATTATTATTTAAGCACACAGCCCTCCAAAATCTCTTACAAATGACTAGTTCTAATGTGTGAGTTTATACAGTGGGTATCAAAGACCTTATCCTCACTTGATATCAATACATGCACACACGTGTGCACACACATTTTCCAGTTGGGGTCTCTGGATAATTAGCAGAATTTGAAACCATGGCTAACTTTTCTTCACCTTTCTATAACCTTAGTGCATTGACGTCATTTGTAGCATGCCAGCTGCTGCTGAGACCAGCTAAGCCAGACAGACTGGGAATCGAATTGGAGACCTATGACCCCTATAGCTTAAAGCTAACACTGGGTGGTGTCTTTACTCACAAGATCATTCTGGGAAGTACACAGATTGATCATTGAGGCTCTGTTTATCTTAAACTTTAATATCACCAGAACAGATATGTTGGAGAGAAGATCCTTCCCAGCATTGTATTTTCCAGGGCAATTCTGAGCCCTTTTGTCCTTCTTGTTAAGTCCCTATTTAACACAAACTTTTAAAGATGAAATATGTCTGGTAGTAAAGCATGAGCATACACTGACTTGAACATTTTAGAGCAGTTTTTTTTTTCATGTCTTCTTTCATCCATCTTTCTCAGTTCCAGCATAAGTAAACAGATTCTTGTGTTAAATCACTTCTAGCTGTTCGAGCCACATTAGATCCACATTAGATGTTTGATGTCCGCACCATCAGATTTTTATTATCCATTTATCTTCATAGGGCCAATACTGTAAGCATGATGTTTTATTGTTATATAAGGTTATGTTTTAGAAATGCCTTTAATTGGGATAAAAAAGGGGTTTATACAACGGTGTTCTATAGCCTGCATTGCAACAAGTATGAGCAGCATAACTGCTAAAAATTAATAGAAGCCCTAAATTGTTACTGGAAAGAAGGCTTACTTACACTTAAAGACAGATACTGCTATCTTTGACTCTGTAGTGATTAAACTTCTTTCAAGTCGCAGGAAGATGTTGAGAATATTGGGTTGAAAGCAATTATGTCTTAAACAATCTAGCTCCTTCCAAGATAGAAGAGTTCCGGTCTCCAAGAAAGATAATCAATATTTTTACCTGGATATAGGGTCCCTGTTATTCATGTTACCATAGATATTGGCTTTGAGGGAAAATGCTTTCTACGTGTGTGCATTCTTGAAACTCTTCCAAACTGTCTGCCAGGAACCAGAAGAGCAGAGAACCTGAGATAGTAGGAACTGCAGATGCTGGAGAATCCGAGACAACAAGGTACAGAGCTGGATGAACACAGCAGGCAAAGCAGCATCATAGGAGCAGAAAGGCTGACGTTTCGGGCCTAGACCTCAGAGAACCTGGATTCTAAAAGGTGCTCTGACTCAATGCAGAGCAATGCAGATGAGATCTTGGATTAAATAGGACAGATGTCAGAGGTAGGTTCTTTACTCAGAGAGTAGTAAGGGCGTGGAATGCCCTGCCTGCAAAAATAGTAGACTCGCCAACTTTAAGGGCATTTAAATGGTCATTGGATAAACATATGGATGATAATGGAATAGTTTAGGTTAGATGGGCTTCAGATTGGTTTCACAGGTCGGCGCAACATAGAGGGCCGAAGGGCCTGTACTGCGCTGTAATGTTCTATGTTCTAAATAGGTCAAATTTATGAAAGTTTGAAATAATGCGGAAGATTTGCCTAGCTTGTGCTACAAGAAAAATTAGCAGGGAAAAGCCCACCTATGAAAGTTAGTTCTGAGGTTAAAAGTTACCAGAATAGGAAAGGAATGGCAATTAACATTCGGGAGCTGAAAATTTGATTGCCTCTTTACAGTCTCTTTGTGGCCAAGTAATGAATTGGAATCATAGAATCTCTACAGTGCGGATAGAGGCCGTTCAGCCAATTGAGTTCTAATGTGTGAGCTTATACAGTAGATATCAAAGATCTTGTCCTCACTTGATATCAACACACACACACGTGCACATACACATTTTCTAGTTGGGGTCCCTGGATAATTAGCAGAATTTGAAACCACGGCTAACTTTTCTTCACCTTTCTATAACCTTGGTGCGTTGATGTCATTTGTAGCCAAGAGATAACCAAGCAGATATTTGCCTTTGGATGAAATGCTATGAAACTAGTCAACCCACCAAAAGGCATGAAGAGATCATTATCACCTATTAAATTCACACTATCTTTAGAATCTTCATACGTTGGAAATGAAAACATTGCATACAATTATAAAACCTGAAAACCAGAAAGGATTAATCCAATCAATCCATCTGGTTCATTAATGTCCTTTAGGGAAAGAAACTGCTATCCTTATCTGGTCTGGCTGACATGTGACTCCAGACGTACAGCAATATGGTTGACTCTGAGCTGCTGTCTGGCCAATTAGGGATGGACAATAAATGCTGCCTAGACAGCAACATCCTCATCCCGTTAATGAATAAAGGATTGCTGACAGTGCAAATGACTAGCTTGTACTTCAAAGAGCTGCTTTAAGCAGAGAAAGAGATGGATTCTTGGCTAAACAGGGTGGAAAGGGCAGCTAAGACCCCATGGTAATACTGACTGGAAAGAAATATCAGCACACCCAGAACCCAAAGAATAACTGTAATGTTAGCTTCTGCTGATGACCCAAGACAACAACTACCCAACAGTAGTCTCAGATTAAAACCTTCCACCAGAAGGACACTGTATCTTTCACTTTCCAGCATATCAGGCACTATCCTGTTTTAACTTTGAAAGTGTGCATGTGAGACTCCAAGGGAATCATATGTTTGATGTCACACCTTTATTACTTTCTTTGGGATTAGCAGGATTCATAGAATTGCTCTTTCAGAGAAGGGAACCTTGCCATTGGCTTTGTATTGTTTCTAGTGAAACTAGAAAGTTAACTATTTTATTTGGGGAAAGATATAGGCATATACTGTGTTGTGATCACAAACTTTTATTATGACTAACTGGGATGGTTCACAACTTGGAAGCCAATTCAACCCTCCTCACCTGCTATAACAACTTGCATTATTTATTCTGGAAAATGTCAAGAATAAATTATTTAAAGAAGGAAGAAAGCCACATTGAAGGAGTTGCATTTTAAGCTTGTCTAGTGGATCTTTCACATTCTAGGCATGGTTTTGTTTCCAGATATGACGTGTATACTATATATAAGTACTGCAATTTTTCCTTTCTTTAATACCATGTATCAATTATTTATGTAAAATTTAAACTTGTATAATATTGTTAGATATAAATTAACAAGCTGGGACTTTTATTCCAGAGCAGTTATTCATGTAATTATTTGTTTCAGGTTATGATCTTAATACTGCACTTATAGCCTGATTACTGCTGGGGCCATATGATTTCAGAGAATTTCATTGAGCACATATATGGATCTCAATAAACATAAAACAAGACAATGTTCCTGTAACTACTTGACAATCTAGAAACATTGAATGTATTCAAGAGGCGACTAGATATCGCACTTGGGGTGAATGGGATCAAAGGTTAAGGGGAGAAAGGGTTAGACTATTGAGATCAGCCATGATCATGAAGAATGGCTGAGCAGGCTCGAAGAGCAGGAGGAGGCCATTCAGCCCGATCTTCTATATTTTATTAGTTTCTAATGCTGGCATACACCTGTTTCTCACCATGTAGTGCATTATTTCATCAGTGGTCATGGAGATCTTTCTCAGTAATCCTGTGATGATGCCAGATTTCTGCCTATTCTTGATATATAAATTATACTTCAAGTTAAACTGGAGTTATTCCATACTGATGCAGTTTGCCATTGATTTAATACCATTGTGTTTACACAGGAATCAACAGATTTTTTTTTACCTTCGGCATGAAATTACACAGCAACAGGAAACACAGTGTACAGCAATTTTTATTGTTCCTTAATTTGATTTTGGTTTATTACACTTGCTGTTTATTATATTTTCATGACTCATCACTCTGCAAATTATTGATGTACTAACGTCAACTTTTGTAACATCATTTCACTTTGCTTAGGTATAATTCAGTATTTATGTAGAGAAGTAGTGATGGTTACAATTAGTGTAGGTTCCATCTGCAGCCTTCCTGTTAATAGATGTTCAATTGGATTAAAGTTATTTCTAATCCCGAACTTCATCCATTTCCCTCTCATTTCCTTGAACAAAACTGATTTAATTTTATTGTCACCAATCTTAATTAATTAATCAATTGGTCAAGCTGTCCTTGATAAAGACTGTATGTTATAGTTAGCAATAGAGGGGGTCCTCTTATGGTGCAGTAGTAATGTCCCTATCTCTGAGCCAGGAGGCCCGGTCCCACCTGCTCCAGAGGTCTGTATTAACAGCTCTGAATAGGTTGATTAGAAAAATACGTTAAAAAATCATTATCTATAGAGGACTCTTGTGGTGCAGTGATAGTGTCCCTACCTCTGAGCCTGGAGGCCCAGGCTCAAGTCACACCCGATCC